GCTGAATATAGAGAAGAGTTGTCGTGCCCTAATTTTTCTGACAGTGATGAAACTGAGCCCGATTGTCACATTTGATGACTCTGTTGTTGAAGCAGAGTTACTTAATAGCTCCAGTGACGATGTTGTATTTGATACTTTAGGAAATGATTTTTTATTTGATGATGATGTTGACGATGCTATTGCTGTTGATTGTTCAGCTGTTGATGCTGCTGAGGAAACAGAATTGATGGAGACATGTAATGGTGATGAAACTGACAATCCTATTTTAGTAAGACGTGATGATGAAGTGATCAGTGAAGCCAAATGGAATGGTTTCAAACTATGTGGTGACAACATTGACAAAACAGTTAAGCCTAGGAACATGACAATCTCAAAACAAAGTCAGAGTTTCAATTATTTCAATTCTTATGCTGTTCTTGACAGAATTGATATGTCCTTATGTTCAGGTAAAAGTACAGTTAAGTAATATAATATATACATTGTATTTGCGTTACAGAAGAAGCACCTTTAATTGATCTAGAACCTGATATGGGTTCAATACTACCTTCAAATGACAACAAATTGTCAATTATACGCAATATGGCAGTTCTAGTTGCTCGTATTCTTGTTAAGAATATTTCATTCTTCAAGCTGCATTTTGAGGATGCTGTTGAGTACCACATCAAGCACAAATTTACTAAAGAAATGAGCACAAAGTCAGAGGTGGTACGTCAAAATACCGTATACGTTCAAATTTTCGAGGGTTCAAAATTTCGTGTTTTCAATGAAATGTGCTCAAAAGTTAATATTCGTGTGAGCTAATTTTCGTGTTCTGGCCATAATCTACATACAATAGAATGGCATTAGAGGTGGTTTAAATTTCGTGGATTTAAGGTGAGCACGAAAATAACGAAATTTAATACACCTCGAAAATTAAGACGCGTACGGTAGTGTAATTAATTTCAAAGTCACCATTATCATACATGCATGTATAGGTGAATTTAGGAATTTATTTGCACAGTGAAAGAAGTTACGATGAATTTTTACAAATATTGGATAAACTTGAAAAGTAATTTTTTCGCTGTGTAAGCCTCATCTTATGCTGTAATGTAGGTATATTCCTAAGAAAATTGTTGAGCATGATGGCTTGATGCGTGAAGTACACCACCAGGTTTTGTTAGGTGGTGATCAAATGACTGCTGCTAGGGCACGTGGGTCCAAAATGATTCGGATGAATTCAACCACTGATTCAAAGCGACTCACTGGTTTACTACCTGTTTCAGAAGATTGGCATACAAAAGTCATTTTGCTAGAGGTATATTCTTACACAAAGTATAATGTTCATTGTATTTGTGACCATAATTGACAAATGGTACCTTATGTCGGATAGGAAAATTGGTCTTTATAGCCTCAAAAATCCAACTTACTGAGCTTCATTTATCACGAAATTACTCCAG